GACCCGAGTTGTAAATTTTTGACCCGGTTGAACCGTTTTGACACGGGTGACCCGGTTTACTATAACCCGGTTCTAAATTCTAGGGAATATCACCTTTTAAGTCAATAGTACCGGCATTTTTTATCCTCCTTTTTTTCTTTCCTTCATCATTGAATTTCCTTTGAGGTATCACTTCCAGAAAAGCTTTTTGCCAATCTCTACATTCTAACCATCGGACAAGGATTTCGAATACTGAAGCAAAATTACATAAAACATAGAATTAGAATATATAATGAATGGCAATGAAAATAAATATTGATGTTACGGCTGATCCTGAGATTGGCTGATGGGCTGATGATCCTATTTCAATAAGAAAATTTAAAATTTCTGATATTTAAGGTTAAAAGTTATTAAAAGTAGAATTCCAATCCATTATCCGTTTATCCGGATAATTATTAGATATTCGTTATCCGTTATCCAAAGTATCAGATCTGAATTTATACAGATATCCATTTACTATTGATATCCGAATAATGGTCCGAATATCTGTCAAATTATCCGGATATTTGATCTGTTTATCCGGATTGGAATTCTAAATAAAAGAGTATACTGTATATGAATAGATTAAGTAGATTTAAATAGTCAACATCAGCCGATTTCATTATCAGCCATGATATTTAATAAGACAATGATATTAACCATGATTAATCGCGAGCACCTTTCTTGTGGTCAATTTAATACAATTTTCGATGGGTAATTGAGCAGTTGCAATATTTTCTTCTTTTGCCTTATCATAACAGAGATTCTAAGAAATAAAATAAATTAATAAGAGAAGTAGAATATATATAGACAAGAAATACAGCCAATAGATAAAATACTTTATGCCTGTTCTTATCTACTATTCCACCAATTACGTAAACTTTATTTTCATTTAATTCATCTATCACATCGGTAGCATCAGCAGTCAAATACACCAAATCATTTTTATCGAAACGTTCTAAATACGACTTAGTATCAAATACCACATCTTTCCAATTTGTATGACTCTGGATTTTTGTATCGAAACGATTTTGAATACGTTGACCGTATGAAGTAAAAAATAAATTTACGGGACGCGAAGTAGACCGATTTGCAGAATAACAACGAGTCAATTGTGAAGATACGGATGTAATTTCCTTATAAAATTGAGAGACAAAACGAATAATTATTCAGCCGATTCGATAAGTTATTGATTTCGGCATGATCAGTATAATGTTTATTAT